GCCCCGCCCCGTTTACCACTACCACAATGCAGGGCTTCCAAGGTAATGTTGGATCATCAGCATTCAGGCACATAATAGCAGTTCATTAAATGTTTGTGCCTGACCAGCAGGACTTATTATTGTGAAACCTACTGAGACACTGCAACTCCAGCTTTATGGGTAGGCCAGTTTATACGAGGACAACTAACCTAGGGTAACTGCTGCTTCTTGATTTAAAATTGAATGTATCTCTTTTGGTAATATAAAATCAAACTGCAACAAGTAGCCCTCAAGCTGAACTCTGAATTATACAGTTGCTTCTAAATTCCTATGCCATTTTACTTATTCTTTTTGTCTTAAAGGCATTATTTGTTACAAATATACTTTTATGTAAGAGACTCTATTAAACAGTATATTTCTCTTTAGCATACAAACGGCTAGATGGGTCAACCGAATGCTGTAATAATCACAGCCTCACAGATGTGTGCTTCTCCTACAGAAATAATTTTAATAAGCGTTTGGTAAGTTGTCCCTGAAACAGTCTTGCTTGTCTGATATAATTACTACAAAATAAGCATATACAGCTAAAATGGAACCTGGAAACTTCTCTCTTTTGCTCTATTTGTATCATTCTATTAAAATCTCTGCATTTCACATGTCACATTCATCTGAAAATCTTTAAAAATTTATAGTGATAATATCTTATTTTGCCCAAGTGGGGTACTTGAATCTATTTTAGAGCAGGTGCACATAGATGGCATTTCTTTTATGTGAACCTCATTCCTGATATGCTAGGTGCATGAAAGACATTTAAGGAATGTAACTTAGGTTTTTCTTAATAAATCATTTCAAATATTGACTGATTAATATTTTATTTATAGCATACTTGTCTTCCTGCCCGGAAAGCAGTTGAAGCAACCCAAGTTTGTAGAACCAACAAAGACTGTGAAAAAAGCTCAAGTTCAAATTTCTGTATAATACCTTCTTTGGAAACTCACACTCGCTTAATAAAAGTGAAACACCCACCTCAAATTGATATGTTATACGTAGGACATCCTCTGCATCTTCACTACACAGGTGAGTATTTTTGTGGTAGACCCTTAGAAAATCATTAAGATCATGTATAGTCTCAGTGGTAGAAACTCACTACCAATTCTTGCATTAACACATTTATTATAAATTTGATCATTTATCAAAGTCTTGTTAACTTGCTCTTAAGCATTAAGTGAAAATTTTGCAGTAGGAAGATAATCTGAACTTACAAAGTAAGATGGAGCTGAATCCATGCCTGCCTATGGAGAATGGCATATTTTTCCTTCCCTACCATTTATGCCCAGGTCAAATAGGCGATCTCTCAGGTGTCCTCTGAGAGTTTATTAAATTTATCCAAGCTCCCCAAAACTGTGGCAAAAGCAACATACCATAGAGAATGCCAGGATGCATGGGATGTAACTATAAAGTAATTTATGTGTGACATGTGACTTTCAAATGAATATACTTTCAAAACTGGGCCAGCATAATCGTCTTAGTAGTGGCAGCATCATTGGACTAAGTATTGGACTAAGTTCTTTATGGCTAAAGACCATGTAGTCTAACTCATTTTGTTGTACAAGATTTTTAAAATAGTTTACCATGCAATTTACCCATTAAAGTGTACAATTCAGTGGGGTTTTGTTTGTTTGTTTGTTTTTGTTTTGTTTTGAGACAGAGTCTCACTCCGTTGCCCAGGCTGGAATGCAGTGGTGCAATCTCAGCTCACTGCAACCTCCACCCCTGGGGTTAAAGTGATCCTTCCACCTCAGCCTCCCAAGTTGCTGGGACCACAGATGGGTGCCACCATGCTGGGCTAATTTTTGTTTTTTGTAGATACAGAGTCTCACTATGTTATCCAGGCTAGTTTCAACTCCTGAGCTCAAGCATTTCTCCCTCCTCAGCTTCCAAAAGTGCTTGGATTATAGGCATGAGCCACTGTACCTGGCCCAGTGATTTTTACTATATTAAGTTGTGCAATCATCACCACGAGCTAGCTGCAGAATATTTTTGTCACTCCAAAAAGAAACCCCATACCCATTAAGTAGTCACTCCCTGTATCTCCCCAACACCCCCCAGCCCTTGGCAATCTCTAATCTACTTTCTGTTTCTATAAATTTGCCTGTTCTGGACATTTCATATAAATGGAATATTTTATGACTGGCTTCTTTGATGTAGCTTAATGTTTTCAAGGTTTATCTGTGTTGTGTCATTAATTAGTACTTATTTCTTTTTAAGGCCAAATGATATTCCTTTGTATGGGTAGACCACATTTTCTTTATTCATTCATAGTTAATGGATATGTGGGTTTTATATTACTCTTTAAAAGACTCTCTCATTACTCCATAGTCATATCCTGAACTACAACTGAGGTCATTTTTCTTATCTATTAGTTTGATTGCAAAGATTAAATAAAACCCCAAGAAATGAAGAAATGTCCCTAGTGGGGGTAATTAAGAAATGTGTACTATGAGTTCTACCTAATTACATGATAGTTTTAAAATGTTTTAAACAAAAACAAGATTATGGAATCCACAGAGTAGATGAGACTTTAAATTCCCTCATCTTAATCCTTGTTTTGGCAATGGAGAAAAAAAAAAACCCACAGACCTGAAAGAGGTTAAGTAGCATAATAGTAGGAGTAAATCTGATTTTAAGGTTATACCCCTTTGAAAGGATAAGGACTCTTAATGTAAATTTCTTACTCTTGCCTCAAAATAGAAGTGCAAACTGGGACATATTTTTTCATTCTGCCGTTTTTATTAGATGTTCTAGAATTATTATTTGCTTTTATGTGTGAGGTATATGTCCTGCATATGTTTAGGAAGGGCTTTCTCAGTTTAATCTGCTAGCCCAATTTTCAACCATATGGTAAAATTAATAATGCTATTGCTTCTCTGGTATTAATAATATTTATTATTCCTTCTTTTTCAGTGAGCATCACCAGTTTTATCCCACGTTTCAACTTTCTAAGCATAGATCTGCCAGTGGTTGTGGAGACATTTGTCAAGTATCCTTTGTGGCGTGAAACATGTTTTAAAAGTGTGTTACTTGGAGATTGATCAAGTTTACCTTGAATAGAACATTGCAAGTATAGATTTCACAAGCATCACTTAATTGCTAACAACTAAAAAAGAGTCTTGAAAGTTGAAAAAGATCAGATTGTACCCAGGAGGGAAGAAGTCAGAGGAGAAAGATTAATCAGAGTGAGAAAGGTTAAAGACGTAAAAGGGAAAGAACCCAGAATACAAATTGAGAATTGAATTTACAGGTCTAAAACATTTTAGTAAGTTTATAAAGAATGGAAGCTTCAGTTACTAGTGAGGTGATGAATTCTGCCCCATCTGAGCCTATTAGTTCTGACCAAATAGAGGATGTAAATTGCATAACCAGGAATTGTATAAATCCGTTCCATGGATCCCAGGGAGGAATGCACAAGAAAGATCAAGCTGGTTTCAACTATTAAGATAGCAATTCAGAAGGCCAAATCTCATGTGGTCTTTAGCATATTATCATAGTACATAAAAGATGAATTTTTTCATATTAATTATTATGCAGAATTGAATTACTGGAAAGTTGTGGAAGGGTTCTTTATTTTTGTCGCTTTTAAATTTTTTAATGTCTTTCCTCAATTATTTACAAAAGAAATGGAAAACATGAGCAGTTACTGAAAAAAAAACATGTATAATCAAGATTGTGACTGGACACAGTGGCTCACACCTGTAATCCCAGCACTCTGGGAGACCGAGGTGGGTGGATCACCTGAGGTCAGGAGTTCGAGACCAGCCTGACCAATATGGCGAAATCCTGTCCCTACTAAAAATACAAAAATTAGCCAGGCATCATGGCGTGCGCCTGTAGTCCCAGCTTCTCGGGAGGCTGAGATAGGAGAATCGCTTGAACCCAGGAGGCGGAGGTTGCAATGAGTCAAGATTGTGTCACTGTACTTCAGCCTGGGTGACAGAGCAAGACTCTGTCTCAAAAAAAAAAAAAGAAAAAGAAAAGATTGTACCTTATAGACTGTGCAGCTTTGTCACAAAGAGACTTATGCTATAACCTTATAGATGGTAATAAAATAAAGTAGGCTTCAAAGGCCAAAATCTTTGTTTCTTAATTTAAAGTAATACTTTGTAAGACCCAAAGAGTAATTTTCCCCTTATTTCTTATTCCTTCCACATTCCTTTCCCTGTTGTGTCATTAAAGGATTAGAAAGCCTTAGTCTTCCTACGAGTTCATTATAGATTGGCTTAGTTTATAAGTGGTTGGTCTTTATTTTTCTAGTCAAGGTTTTTGAACTTTGAAATAATATAAACTCATTTGTTTTAAGTAGTAGAGATCTAAGAAGGAATGGCAGAGATTTAAAGAAAATAGAGAATTCAAGCATAATCTCAAATTCAGTCACAGCAAAATATTTTCTGACTCATAGAAATGTGGTTGCTACTCAGACCTCACACGCTTGGTTCCTTAACTGATTTTAACCCAGATACCTGATTTCCCTCTCAGGAGCTCTGGCTATTGTTAATGCAGTACCCTGCTTTGCTTTGGATGGACAATGGATTTTAAACTCTTTCCTGGATGCCACCCTTACCTCAGTGATTGGAGACAATGATGTCAAAGATCTAATAGGGTTTTTCATCTTGCTGGGTGGCAGTGTACTTTTGGCTGCCAATGTGACCCTGGGACTCTGGATGGTTACAGCACGGTAATGTTTGCACTCATATGGCAGAAACCCTGAATTACAGTATACAGCTATGTGGTAATATCCATTGCCATTGAAATTCTTGGTATGAAATATAAAGTGTTTCCTTAAAATTACATCCTTGCCAACAACCCTGAGCTCCTCCCATATCCAGAGTACCCAAACTCTGCAGTAGAAGATAAGCAGAAGAAATGAAAGGCATAGTCCCTGACTACATTCTAATTTAGAGACTGAATGTACCCAGTTGCTTGTGGAATAATATCTTAACAGGTGCAAATTCATGCAATACCATTTCGTGTGATTACATATTGTGTTGAAATAGTATAAAGGAGAATAGAACTGGGTGCAATTAATAGGGAAACACTTCTTACAAAAACATCGTTAATCAAAATCTGAAGGAGATTAGACTTTGGCCAAGTGGAAGGATGACCATTTTCTTGGCCTGAATCTCTTGTCCTTTGTCTTGTTTGAAAAGTATTTTAAAATTTAATGGTGTATTATTTTGTGCTCTGAAAGCTGAGGTCTGATTATAATTAGTAAAATTCTATAGAAGAGTCTGCTGATGTGAAAGGGAAAAATCTTTGTTAAATGATACCAAATAAATGAACAAAATAGGAAGTAAGACCTATGATATCATGAGACATGTTTTGCCCCACAAGAATTACATCTTTGATAAGGTGTCTCTGCCCCCTCACAAAGTAGCACTAGCTTTGACATCCACAGTGAGCTGTACGAAGTGTCTCACACCAGCAGCATGTGAGCTGAGGGAGGCAGTTAGGGTTGAACCTCAGAACTAGACCAAGTCTCCTGACAGATCACAAGACACCCCAGAGGCTCTTCAGCAGTCCTGCTTCCCATTCTCTATAGAGCTTTAAAGCTTGGACCCCTTCCAGGGTAAACATTTTCTCTTGTGCTGCTAAGGCCATTTGGGGCCTAGCTCCTGGGTTCCTGTCTCCAAGAAGCAATGACCTTAAACTCTGAGCCATACTCTGTCCTCACCAGCGACTCCCATGTTTCTCTGGTCAGGTTATTAAGTACCTAGTCCTTGCTTTCTGTCTCCCCGCTAAGCTACCTCTCTGGGTCCACAGAAGACTTAGTAGTATAGTGAGAATGGCTATACATGAGTACAGACGTGGATTTGCCAGAGCCTGGGAACTGACTCTTGAGCTCGGAAGAGCCACACCTGGTTTGAGGGCTTTTGGAGCGGAGATGCAGACCTGGGAAATTTGGGAAGTCAGCAGGCTAGTGTGAAGCTATTGGTTTTAGAAGTATTTGAGCTTGCTGTTTCTTTGATGAAAAATATATGCTTCTCTCATACACTCAGAAGTGATTAAGGGCAATAACTCATTAATAGCCATGTATCCAACTTCTTTACTGAGGTATTCCATGAGGTTACCTTTTACAGATCATTGAGTTACTCTTTTTTTTTTTTTTTTGAGACGGAGTTTCGCTCTTGTTACCCAGGCTGGAGTGCAATGGCGCGATCTCGGCCCACCTCAACCTCTGTCTCCTGGGTTCAGGCAATTCTCCTGCCTCAGCCTCCTGAGTAGCTGGGATTACAGGCACGCGCCACCATGCCCAGCTAATTTTTTGTATTTTTAGTAGAGACGGGGTTTCACCATGTTGACCAGGATGGTCTCGATCTCTTGACCTCGTGATCCACCCGCCTCGGCCTCCCAAAGTGCTGGGATTACAGGCTTGAGCCACCGCGCCCGGCCCGAGTTACTCTTTAAGCACTAAAATTTTTAAATCATTTTTATGAAAGTTTTTAGATTGTATTACAAATTTGCCTTGTTAATAGAAATTGTATATTGAATATAATTTTAACATTTTATTAATGACTTGAGTCATCAGTTAATATCAGTACAAAAGCCTTGCGAATTATTGGTTTATTCCAGAAAATATGACATTTGTTCTATTTTTAGGTAGATAATCGTTTGGGATCAGAGTATATTAGCATAGTAATGCTCAGACCTGTTCAAGTAGTAGAGCTTGGAGAATGCCATGAAATACTTATATAACTAATTTGATTACATGAAGTAAGCAGTTTACTAATGAAAAGGTTGTATATGTGCAAGTCCGTTTTTTTTAAATGGAGAAAAAATTTTAATAGAAGAAATCTTATTAATTTATTTTTCTGAGTAGAAAAACAAAAGCCAAATCTTATTTTATTTCAGCTGTTAAACATTTTGGTCTGTTGATCCATAGGATCAGGGTTTGGGAACCACTTTACTAGGAAAGAGCAGATCAGTACCATTTGTATACAACTGGCCTCATTAAGTAAGAAAGAAAATGTTATGTGTTGTCTTGTTTAGCTTGGTTGTGGGCACTTCTACAGCAAGGACCATATCATATTCATCTTTGCATCCCTGGCGCAGTGCATGAGATGTAAGTACTTAATAAATGCAGTTGAGTGAATAATGATTAGTGTTATTTATGGATTAGAAAAAGCATGTTTCTATTTAAGTAAGCCGTAAAAAGCATTATTGAATATTTACTGTAAATATATGTTAATATAAAAAAAAACTTGGAAGGTCTTTGTGTCCCTGGCAGATTATCATCTTTATGGAAAGAATGTACTTTGGTTTCTGTGGAGTGATTGGAAAAATGAATTATTTTGAGGATTGAAGAAAGTGTTCTTTCTGTGTTGTCACTTTGTTCAACAGTAAAACTTTATTCTCAGTGTTCCTACTCTGCATTGTTTACATTTTTGAGAGTTTTTTTTTTAAATCACCTACAATCTGTAAAGAATGTATATATTCTTTTCAGCATCTCAGTTTGAAAAGACATACAGTTAAACTTGACCTTTTGATAATCGCTCTTACAGGTCATTGTCTTTTCTAACAGCAAATTGTAAACATGTGCTTCATGGATATTGTGGCTCTCAGTCATCATTTTGTCCTATGGTATTTATTGAATGTTCACATACTAATGGTGCACAGGTATTTTTTTCTACAAATCTTCGGACTGTTCTGTAATTCATTCTTAAACCTTAACTTGAAGATATCGTAATCTCCAGCATTGGATGTTTAGCAATAAAAGAATAAATGTGTACCAGCATTTTATGTTTATCATCATCTATGTGTTGTCTTTTTTTAACTCTTTTCTATCAAAATTGTTCCTATTACATAAAGCAAGACCTTAATTGTTTTTAAATTCTTGATTCTAAAAGCAGCCTTCAGTTTTCATTCATATAATCTATACCCGAAAGTGGTTGCAGGCCTTGAAAAGAAGTCTTTTAAATGAGGCTCCTGTGCACTTGCGACTGTCTTGGTAATGGCTGGCTTATGGATGAAGAAAGAGGACTATCATGTTTCCTTTCATTAGTGTCTGACAGAAAAGTCTGCTGTAAGTTAGGAATTCTTGGAAGAGAATGTTTTAACTCTGACATTTGGTTCTTCTTGACCTTTTGCCCTAGTGCTTCCTCCCGTGTTTGTTTTTGATTGGTTAGCCTCATTCCATTACTTCTTGCCTCTGATCCCAGTACACTACAGTTAAAAGCCACAAGACTAGATAACTGATTATCTAAGCCACTTTTTTAACAGCTTTATTGAGATATAATTAAATGCCATAAGGTTCCCTCTTAATGTGTGAACTTTGAAGTGTTCAATTCCATGTAAACTATTTTTCTCTTAATGCCCAAGCAAACAATAGTATGCATATGCTTTTGTGTAATCTAACCTTTTAAGTAAATGTACATGTGATAAAAGACTGGAGGGAAATATGTGTTTTAGTTATTTTACAAGTATTTTAATTCTGGAATGGTTCTCAGAAAAGTAATAGAGTTGAATAACAGTTTTTTTTGAGCATGTAAATATACTTTCTTTGAGACAATAAGCCTTTTAAATCAGTGCATTTGCAAGCTACTCTTGCTGTTGGGGCCATACTAATTTGAATAATCCATTGTATATTTTATCGGACCATGACATATGAATTCAATGAAAGGAAACCCCTCTGTTGCAGAACTCAGTGCTATAATAGGTTATACTCAGGGTGGAGGTAGGGAAAAAACGGCTAATTACAAAGCAGGTTATATTGTATAATTTAATTTTCCATTAAAGGGAAGAAGAAACACACATGTTAGTTTTATTTAGCTGAAGATTGATGGATAGTCAATAATTGTCCCTTCTTGTTAACTGAATGCTTCTCAAACTTTTCTACTGATGTGCTCCTGGACGCTGTAGAGGAGGGAAAACCTAGCGGGATCTAAGAGTGGAACCCTGTAATTGGCTCTCCACAGTATAAGATTGAACTCTCACTTTATCTTCAATTTATGTAGATTTTGCATCTCATTAATCTGGTCAGGCATCCTAAAGCCAATTCTCTTAAAGATATGTAACTCTAAACTGTTAAGAATTAGACTCTAAGAATATTGAGAATTTCTTCATTTCTAAAACACATTCTGGTCTGTAGACTAGTGACAGTCTATGGTGGTATTTTTGTCCATTCAAAGAGAAATCAGAAAAATAAAGATCATGTATATTGTCTTTAATTACAGAGTAAACGTAATGTATGTGTAATGTTATAAGGCTGCCTGCTGCCCTTTATCAAAAAGCTCCCCTTTATTTGGAGTATGGAAACACATAGTTGATTTCCTTTAGCACTGCTAGATTGCCCTCCAAAAATGTCTTTTTATAACTGATCCTCTTATTGGCAAGACATGAGGGTTCCATGTTTGCCCACACCCTTACCTCCACCTGAATTGTCTGACTTCCATGTTCTGACAAATCTGTTGGGTTTAAAATGACATTTCAAAAAGAAAAAAACATTTCATTTTAATTTGCATTTCTTAGATTACTAACAAAGTTGCAGATTCATATAGTTGTGTACCCCTTTGTATTTTTCATTCTGCCACTTGCTTATTGATATCCTTTGCCTAGTTTTCTATTGTGTGTCCTAACTTTTTCTATTGATCCATAGAAATTTCTTGTGTATTCTAGATTGGAGGTCAACAAATTATGGCCTGCAGGCCAAATCTTGCTCACTGCCAATTTAATCAACTTTTATTGGATTTTATTGGAACATATTCATTCATGTATTTGATGACTGGTTTTGTGCTACAATGGCTGAGTTGAGCAGGTGCAACAGAGATCATATAGCCAAAAGCCTGAAATATTTGCTTTGTTTTACAAATATTCAGAACAACCCATGTTCCAGATATCAATCTGCTTACAGAACAACCCAAGTCCTAGGTATCAATCTCATACATTTTAGATGCTGCAAATAATTTTCTCAGTCTGTCACTCATCTGTAAATTTTGTTTATGAGGTCCTTTGTTGAACAACAATCTTTAGTTTAATATAGCAAGATCCATTGATTTCCTGAGTTGTTATTCATGTTTTGTAGGTCTTATTGAAAAAGTCCTGTCCTGTCACAGTAGTATTCTTCTTACATTTTCTTCTATTTGCTTTAAAGTTGTACTTTCATGATGAGATCTTTAATTTCTGGAATATATGATATGAGGTAGGGAATCCAGGTTTATTTTTCTATATAGATTTAACTATCCTTAAAATAAACATAATAGTATTTTTCTTTTTAAGACTGTTATATGAAACAGCTTACATAAAGTAGTTAATATGGTGCCTGGGATGCTCACGTCATTACTGGTATTATGAATTTAAAGTACTTATT